AGCTTATGTCTGAAAACTTTCCATTTAGGCAGCTAGTCATTATATCACAAAGGCTAAATTAATGAATGCCCAAAGCCTACCAAATAATATGAAATGTAGTTTTTTAATCCTTAGGTCTTTAAATGCTCTTATCAATTTTGCACACTTTAACTTGCCTAAGGATCATAAAATATATTTAAATATAGAAATATTTAGCCTAGTTGATGAGTGCATTTGACTCTTCATTAATGTGAATCTTTCACTTTTTTGCTTTTGCATTAAGAATTGTAACCACTGGTACATAATACTTTTATTTATTCTCATTATTGCTTTATTTTTAACATGGTATTTGACAAAATTCTCAATTTTAGGACCAACTCTAGGCACACTAATGATGTAAACAAAATGTGACTTAAGGTAATGTATTGAATGATCAGGCACATTACTTCATATATGGACCTCATTTTTTGGTGATTAATTGTAAGAGATAGTTCTCCCTGAAATACTGAAGTGTTAGCATATGTCAATGTCAGACAGTTGAAATCAAATTAAGAGAGGTAAAGTTCAAAATGGCAAGTGACTGGTAGAGTGTCACAAAACTCCTAAGTAACCATAAAAATAGCATTTAATACTGTCTATATATTTTATTTTGTTCTTATGAAGAAACATTCATATACTGTTTTTGCTAAGAAAAACCATGTATATTATGGAAGGATGAGTTTGTTCTCTTTTACAGTTTAAGAATCTTTGAAAGTAAGATATATATCTACATAGGCAAAACATATGTTGTGTGTGACTTCTAGTCCATATTATATTACTCAGTAAAGTATCTTACAAGTTAAGAAGGAAATTTCCTATGTTAACACTTGTATGGCTTTTAATACATGTGTGTCTTAAGAAAGGAATTGTTTTAGGAACAGTCCTAACCAGATAGGGAAGTGATAATTTTTGTAGTAGAACTTTTGAGAGAGATACTTCAGAACGCTGGTTTTGATTTTTATTATTGAACTAATGAAAATTATTTTTTAAATATATTTACTGGTGCCAGTCCATGTATCAAATTTTCTTATATTTGTCAAAGATGTTTATTTTTCTAAAATAGCCTCATGTCAAAATATTGAATAATGAGTTGCATACATCATAAATCAAGCTGCCTGACCAACTTTAAGTAACTGTCTTTTTCTTCAATCAGAGTGATGGCATTTCATACTGATATCACCTGGAGCATAAAAATATTTTAGTTGTTTTACCTCTATTCCAGTTATACCTTGAAATTTATATCAGAAGTTATAAGAACTTTTAATATTTTGATTGGTTTTTATACTATGTCAAGAATATAGTGACTCCTAGAATAATGTTATTTTCAAGTAGAAAAGCATGGTATTTTCAGGATGAGGTAGAAAAGTCTGACATCAGTTTAGTTTTTAAACTGTTATGATATGTGCATTAGTAGAACAATTAAACTGGCTATTGAATTTCTGTATTTATGTGTTTATACAAATTTTTAGAAAATATAGCTTGTGAGTTTCTTAAAACATTATGTTCAATGAATAGTATGTTTTGGGGGGCCATTTAGGACTTAGTGGTTTAAATATAAGGTTTATCTCAAAATATATTGGTTATGATATCTTGACAGGCAGTTATTTATCTTTAAAACTGTTTATGTTTGTTTTGTTTGTTGACATTGAATTATATTCAGTTACAAACTGGCATGTGTCACTATGAAAATGAGCACTGGTCTCTGTGTCAGGGACTTTTTAAAAATCCATTCAGAGACACTGCAGATAGTGGACTGAATGAAAGTCAGACAAAGGGATGTAATAGGTGGTGGTTCTTCTTTTGATTTTAGTATTCAAGTAAAAGTGCTTGGAGAAATTTGGTATTATTTATTATAAGCAAATATATTTTTGCCTCACTTAGTAATTTTTTTCAACAAAAATTTGAGTACTGTGCCAAACAGTGAAAGAAAAGAGCTTTAAAAAAAAAAAGAGCATAAATACATTAGTAAACATAGGCAAAAACTTTTTTTTAAGTGTTTTTATTGATTTCAGAGAAAGGAGAGGAGAGGGAGAGAGAGATAGAGACATCAGTGATGAGAGAGAATCATTGATCGGCTGCCTCCTGAACACCCCCTACTGGGGATCAAGCCTGCAACCTGGGCCTGTACCCTGACTGGGAATCAAACTGTGACCTCCTGGTTCATGGGTCAAAGTTCAACCATTGAGCCACTCTGTCTGGGCTAGGCAAAAGCATTTTTATTAAGCATACGTTTATTGTATGCGTGCTAAGTGCCAAGTGAAATGGGTGCTCAGTGCTGGAGATACCAAGTGTATCATGATTCCTCCTATCATGGAGGTCTCATTCCACTTGGCAAGACAGACAAACTAAAAATTAAAGTTACAATATGTTATAAAATACATAAGTGAAGTAATAAAAGTGAGCGCTAAGCACTGTGGAAAGATGTTTGAGGAAACAATGTAAGGGAGTCAGGGAAGGCTTCCCAGACAGGATTCCTGAATCTTTTTTTTTTTTAATATACTTTTATTGATTTCAGAGAGGAAAGGAGAGGGAGATAGATAGAAACATTAATGATGAGAGAAAATCATTGATTGCTTGCCTCCTGCATGCCCCACACTGGGCATCGAGCCCACAACCCAGACATGTGCCCTGACTGGGAATTGAACCGTTACCTCCTGGTTCATAGGTCGATGCTCAATCATTGAGCCACCCAGTTAGGCAGGATTTTTTTATCTTAATGGTTTAGTAGAAGTAAGGCAAAGAAGGAACATTTTACATAGCTGGAGTAATGCTGCAAACTTATAGAGAGAGAATGAAAGGAGGTCAAGGAACCACAAGTAATCAAGTAAGGCTGGGATGGAGTTTTTTTGAAAAGGGTATTGGCAAGGGATGAGGCTACATGGGTGGGCAAAAGATAGACTCTTTTAGAGATCTAAGATTTTAATCTGAAATTGCTATTAAAGAATTTATAGCAATGAACATTTATAGAAGATCACTCTGATGCAATTAGTAAACTAAGAAATTTTCAGCTATATTTGGAAGATAAGGATATATGTGAATGATTAAGTACAAACAATATTCAAAAATTTATGTTTGCACAACTTGGTTATTTGAGGTGTTTCATAAAGCCATAAATTAGGTTCTTTGTATAACTATACTACAGACAGTAGTGGAATATTCTTATTACAACCCTGAGTTGTGATCAGATATAAGGAATTGATAATGGCTGGAAATGTTGTCTGACTTCCCCTTTGCCTCAATGACTAGTTTTGATTCTATTTATACTAACTCAGATGATACAACTAAGTGATGGCTTTGCTCTGTATAGCCATGGTATAGTCTTGGTTGCCTGGCCCTAACTTCAGTGCTTGGTTTATAATTAAGAGAACAATCAAAAGGAAAAGAGAAAATGAAACTCAGAAGGCGTATAACATTATGAAAGGTTGAGATTTAAAAGGAGTTAAGCAGAAAGATAGAAAGGGATCCTTTCCCTAATTGCCTCTTGTATTTTAACCTATCTCTATCTTTTTGCTCAGATAAAAAAGAATTTCTGCTGAAAATGGCATATTAATTATTCTAAAGCTTATATAGCCAACCCCAAATATTTTTAACTGTTTATATGGTTTTCATTGCCTAAGAATTAATATAACAAATTATATTTGTTATATATGGTATAGGCAGTCACTCCTTTTGCCTTGACTTGGGGGCTAGACTACCAATTTGGACAGTATTATCTTTATTATATAAAAAACTTCCCAAATAGATATTATGGTTACTTAAGTAAACATAATTTGATTTATAATTGAAACCAAAAAGTAGAATACCATAACTTATTTTTTTTAATTGAATATGCCTAATTTGGGGGTTTTAGCCGAACAGTACATGTATATAATCATAGATTATAGCATCCAAGTTATCACCATGAATCCAGTAGTCTGGACCTTTCATAGCTATCAAGACTATTTAAGTTAACCCAAATGAGTGGTGAGCAAGCTTTGAAAAACTTTGATTTCTATTCATATAAATCTAAGTTCTCATAAGAATGGATTTGCACCTCTTTACATACCACCAGCTTCACTTAAAGCACCTAGCCACTTTCCTCCAAATCAAATATCTTCCTTCAGAAAAAATAAAAAAAGTTACCTATATGACTATATGTCTATATCATTCATTATATATTCTTAATGACTCTAGGCCTCTAATCGATAAAGTTATAGTGGATTCATATTATATGGTATTATCAGCTTAAAATTATTCCATCTTGAGATAAAATATTGTGGAAAAATTGTACTTCTGCTTTTTATTTTAAATCCTGAATTATTTAATTCAAACCAGAAAATAGTTGGAGAAATAACTTATTCATACTTTTATTTTAATCTTGCCATAAAAGAAAATTTGATTGTTATGATATTGAAGAAGAGCTTGAAGAAGTAAAAACACACTTAGCCAGAGTTCACATAACTAAAGCTTGTTTTTTCAGACTCATTTAATCAGTACTATTCCAGCTAAAAATGTCTGACCAAATGAAAAATTTAAAGCCTGCTCTTTCATGATAAGGAATTGACAATGAAAGCAGTAAATACTCTTTTAAGTTAATTTTGTGCTTGCACTCTATCTCAGTTTTTACCTACTCAGGCTAATTTGCAGGTGCCTGGGATGAGTAAACAAGCCATAATATCTACCAATCAAGTAAAAGAAGGAAAGAAAACTCTGAGCTACCCTCCCAGTTAACAAGGTAGTTTGCTGTGGTTAAAATTAATGCAGATTTTACAGCAACAAATATTAGCATTATCATTTATTGTAAGTAATCGATTTGAAATTTGGGAAATGAATATTTGAGTGCATATTTTGAGTGTTTATTTAACCAGTTATTTATCGGTGCAAGAGGCCATCATTTAAATTTTTCTCTATATGTTGTGGCAAATCAATTTGTTTCTTTCTTCATATTTAACATGTTTAACGTGTGGTTACTTTGACTTGAAAATATATTTTATTCTTTGCAGTGTTTGAGCAACACACCACCGCTTACTGAATATTTCCTCAATGACAAGTATCAAGAAGAACTGAATTTTGACAATCCCTTAGGAATGAGAGGTGAAATAGCTAAATCTTATGCTGAATTGATCAAGCAAATGTGGTCTGGAAAATTTAGCTATGTCACACCAAGAGCTTTTAAGGTTAGTATAGTAGATATATTTTTAATGAGGGCTATCTCCACTCCTAGAGGACAAAAATTGGTTCTCATAGCTATTACAATGGTTTGTAGCCTTGCAAAGGGACACAGCACCATAAATAGATAAAGAGTATTATTTCTGGTCTTAAATTTCCAGCTGGAGGATGGGACAAATGATTAATTTTAAAATGTCTTTAGCCAAAACCGGTTTGGCTCGGTGGATAGAGCGTCGGCCTGCGGACTGAAGGGTCCCAGGTTCGATACCGGTCAAGGGCATATACCTTGGTTGCAGGCACATCCCCAGTAGGAGGTGTGCAGGAGGCAGCTGGTCGATGTTTCTCTCTCATCGATGTTTCTAACTCTCTATCCCTCTCCCTTCCTCTCTGTAAAATATCAATAAAAATATATTTAAAAATGTCTTTAAAGGCTCTGAGGGGTGGGTAGGAAAGTAATGATAAAATGAAATTTTATGTGTAATTCTTAAACTTTTTTAAGTTTTATTTATAAAGTAGTGACTTCTTAGAATCAATAAAATCTAAAGTAGTTTAGTTTGTTATTGAATTTTTTTTTAATTAAGCAGTTTTCGGCCATTTTTATACAAACATTTTAAATGACATTTAAATATATAGGACATGTAGGCAACATTTTATTATCTGTATAATAGTTCTTTAAAACTAAAAACCAACAATAAAAAAGTCTCTGGCATTTAACTTTCTAAACCTTGATAAAACCAGTTCTCAATCCTTTCCCATGTTTAGTTTCATGAGTTTCATTTTGTTAAATATTGCTGTGTAAATAGGCTTTTGATATCTGACTCTTTTTTCACATTTCTTTTTAGTCTCATCAAAGAAATACTTAGTACTGCAAAAACTAGGGACATTATATGTGAACATGCATATTCCTGTTATCTCTGAGATTCATCCTTTTTACACAAAAAAACAAAATGAGAACTATGTAATTTTTTCTAGTGACCCAGAAATCCTGAGTTTTAATAATTCTTTTTACAAAACTTTACGATATTTTCTCCTTGTTCTTTCTTCAGGTCAACATTTCTGTTTTACAGACTAGTTATTTTAAAACATTTTTAAATGTGTAATTATATGTATTTATATGTGTAATTATCATATTTGCAAATGACTATAAAAGTGTCCATAGGTGATTTGGGGTTTAAATAAATTTTTGCAAGTAGATGAATTCACAAATAGAAATCCATGAATAATGAGAATTAACTATGTAATTTTTTAATCAACCTGTCCCTAGAACTGATTTTATAGTTTTGCTTTTCTTACAGACACAGGTAGGACGTTTTGCACCACAGTTCTCTGGATACCAGCAGCAGGACTGTCAAGAACTATTAGCTTTCCTGTTAGATGGACTACATGAGGATTTGAATAGAATTAGGAAAAAACCATATATACAATTAAAAGATGCTGATGGAAGAGCAGATAAGGTAAATTTAATTATATTATTGTCACCATTGTTTTAATAATGTAATATCTCTGTGTAATATGTGTCTGTTTTCCTTATAGGTAGTTGCTGAAGAAGCCTGGGAAAACCATTTAAAAAGAAATGATTCTATCATAGTAGATATATTTCATGGCCTTTTCAAATCAACTCTAGTTTGTCCTAAATGTGATAAGATTTCAGTAACATTTGATCCTTTTTGTTACTTGACACTTCCATTGCCCATGAAAAAAGAACGTACCTTGGAAGTTTATTTAGTTAGAATGGATCCACTTACCAAACCTATGCAGGTAAGTAATGTGTTTTTTTTGCATTTGCTATTTTTATTAAAAATTAGTATTGAATCCTTATGGCTCAAGAACAATCTAATAATAATATGTTTGTTTATGTAAGATTTTTATAAACTAAATACTTTAAAAATTAGTACAACTTTTTAGAAACTTGAAAGCATGAGGGATGTGCAAAGTATCATTATTTGTCAAGTAAAAACAAAATTCTCAAAAGGCTTTTTCTTGTCAAAGGACATTAGAGGAGAGCCTCAAAAGAAGGTGTAACCAGGGAAATACAAAAGAATAAGAAGTAGTAGTATAGGAGAGGGGGAAGATGGCGGCGTAGGTAAACTTCTGTACTCGCCTCCTCCCACATCAAAATTACAACTAAAATACAGAACAACCATTGTTCAGAACTGCTGGAAAGTTGGCTGAATGGAAGACCTATAACAAGAGAAGTAAAAAAGAAAGTACACTGAGACTGATAGGAGGTGCAGAAGCGAGGAACAGGCTGGTCCAGCACCCACATGTGCTGCTTTTTTAATCAGAAGGGAGATCATCTCTGAGGATGCTGCCTGAAGGAGCAAGGGGTCCCAGCCCCACACCAGACCCCTACCCCAGGGACCCAGAGCTGGGAAAAGAAGTTCCTACGGGCAATAAGAACTACGGACTGTAAAAACCAGTGCAGATTGGGGCTCAGTGACACAGAGGCTACTGACCCAGCTGTTCCTCTTAAAAGGCTGGCACCATGAACTGAACTTACAAGGTCCCACTTCCTCTGAGCTTCAGTACCAGGACGAGGAGGAACTGGATTATCTAGCATCGGGGCAGGAACTCGAGGGCAGCTTTCTTCCAGACGGAGGTGCTCCCAGGGTTCATTATTCCTATGCTGAGACCTCCCTGGTCACAGCCATTTCTGTTTGCTCCACCCTGGTGATTCTCTAAGACCCCGCCTCATCCAATTTACAACCCCACCCAAGCTGTGTGCAGAAGCTTTTGCATATGAATGGCCTGTCCTTACTCAAGCTAAAATCTCTCAAACAGCCCTGGCTGGTTTGGCTCAGTGGATAGAGCGTCGGCCTGCAGACTAGGAGGTCCCAGGTTCGATTCTGGTCAAGGGCATGTACCTTGGTTGCAGGCACATCCCCAATGGGAGGTGTGCAGGAGGCGGCTGATCGATCTTCCTCTCCCATCGATGTTTCTAACTCTCTATCCCTCTCTGTAAAAAATCAATAAAATATATTTTTTTTAAAAAATAAAATAAAATCTCTCAAACAAGCTGCAGCTGGGTCCAGGAGCCTCAAACCTATCAATAAAATGCCCAAGATCCAGCACCAACACCAGCCTGCCTTGCTTCATATCTGGGCCTCATCTGCGTACTTCCAAACCCAATACAAAGAGGAGGGATCTACAGATCTCTCTGTAACTCCTGCTGGGTGGCCCCAGACAATGGCTGACTTTATACCTTCCTGGAGACCCAGGAGCCGGTGTTCAGTGTCAGTCCATACCAGATTACAACTCTACACATCCATAAGTGACACACTCAAGTGAGCACCAAAGCCCCACTGAAGCAAGTCCTGCTATATATGGGTGTCTCCTGCACAGCAGCTCTCCCATTGTAGTCACAGCTGGTCCTCATAGCCAGTTGGCCTGGAGGTTAATTCCTCCCAATGACACCAACAGCAATCAAGTCTCAACTACAATAAGACTGTGCTCACAGCCCACAAAGGGGTGCACCTAGAGCTCCCAGCTCAAGTGACTGGCTGGGAGCTATAGAACACATACACAAGGCCACTCTACCAATTCTAGGAGACATAGCAGCTATACCCAATACATAGAAACAAACACAGGGAAGCAGCCAAAATGTGGAGACAAACATGTCACAAATGGAAGGAAGCAAACTACTGTATATAGAGTTCAAAACCACGGTTATAAGATTACTCAAAAATCTTCTAGAAACCTCCAAAAAAAAAAAAGAGAAAAGAACCAGTCATAAATTAAGCATACACTGACTGAAATAAAGAATAATATACAGGGATTCAACAGTAGAGTAGAGGATTCTGATAATCAAGTAAACGATTTAAAATATGAGGAAGCAAAAAACCCAACCAGAAGAGCAAAAAGAAAAAAATATCCAAAAAATATGAAGATAGTGTAAGGAGCCTCTGGAGCAAATTCAAGCATACCAACATCTGCATTTCGGGGGTGCCAGAAGAACAGAGAGAGCAAGATACTGAAAACCTATTTGAAGAAATAATGACAGAAAATTTCCCCTACCTGGTGAAAGAAATAGACTTATAAGTTCAGGAAGCACAGAGTCCCAAACAAGGGGAACCCAAAGAGGACCACACCAAAAACATCATAATTAAAATGCCAAGGGCTCAAGACAAAGAGAGAATCTTAAAAACAGCAAGAAAAAAGCAATTAATTACCTACAAGGGAATACCCATATAACTGTCAGCTGATTTCTTAACTAGAAACTATGCAGGCCAGAAGGGAGTGGCAAGAAATATTCAAAGTGATGAATAGCAAGGACCTACAACCAAGATTACTCTATCCAGCAAAGCTATCATTTAAAACTGAAGGTCAGATAGAGAGCTTCACAGACAAGAAAAAGCTAAAGGAGTTCATTACTACCAAACCAGTATTATATGAAATGCTGAAGGGTATTCTGTAAGAAGAGGAAGAAAAAGAAAAAGATCAAAAAGATGAACAACAAAATGGCAACAAATACATACCTATCAACAATTGAATCTAAAAATCAAAATAAATGAATAAGAAATCTGATGAACAGAATAAACTGGTGAATAAAATAGAATCAGGCATGAAAATGAAACCGACTGACGATTCTCAGAGGAAAGGGGGTGTGGGGGTCGGGAAGAGATTAAACATCTTTTATGCATATATGCATTACCTATGGACACAGACAATAGAGTGGCAAAGGCCTTGGACGGGGCTGGAACCGAGTGGAGGGGGCATGGGAGAAAAAAAGAGGGACATCTATAATAATCTCAACAATAATAATTTTTTTAAAAAGTAGTAGTGTAGGGAAAGGAAAATTTTAAAGGAGGGCATGGTCAGCAGTCATGCTAGGGAGGTCAGTAATATATGGACTGAAAAAGACTTGGTTGTATGATAGTGTTGACAACATTTCTAACAGGATAAAAAAGGTGAAGACAGAAGCCACAGTGGATTCGTTGATAAGTGAATGGGAGGTGAGGATGTTATGATAGTCGGTGTAGACACTACTTTTAACAAGGTTTTGTGGGGGTTTTTTTTAATCAGGGAAAACAATGAGGGACTATTTCGTTCTGATTTTTTTAGAAATGTGTATCTATTCCAGTGTTTATGTACTACTAAAAATAAAATGAAATAAAGGAGATTGCTGAGCTTAGGTTCCAGAGGAAGCAGCAGAGCATGGGATTCAGAGCATAGATGCTAGGGTTAGCCTTGAGTTGGAAGGACACCTGATTCTCTTTGCATGTATTGAGTGAGACAGAAAAGGACTCAAGTTTGTAGGGGGAAAGCAAGTTGGAGATTTCTTCTCCAGTAGCATCTAATTTTCTCCAGATAATGAAGGGAGAAGTGGTGAAATAGGAAGCCTAAGGAATGCTGAAGATTTTAAGTAGTTACTGAGAGAATAAGTAAATAAGGGATACACAGACTTCTGGCTAGTGCTGAGGAACCAGTTGAGATAGGGCACTGAATTTGTAGTGCACTAATCTTTAAAGTTGGGCAGTTTTCTCCAGTCTATGTGAACAGCTCTCTAAGAAAGTGTAGCAAGAATAAAACTGAATAACAAATAACTAAAGGTTTTGCAATGGAGTAGTTGAAGTGAGGAATCATGTGCAGTCTGAATGGAAGGGTATGAAGACAGGGAGCTAGTAAACTGGGGGAAAATTCAGAATAGGCCAAGAATAGGAAATAATGAGTTTCCAATTTGACCCGTAAGTATAGTTAGACAGTATCCTGTTAAAGAGTTTTAAGATATCAGAGGTGTAACAGGTTATAACAAATTCTAAGAAGTTAACTACAGTTGAATGCAAATGTGAGTCTTTGAATTGAGTAGCCAAAGAACAATAAGGTACAGATAAATTATCCATATGGACATTGTCACTGGGATGATGTTAAGATTGGAGACACTGTGAGCCAAATGCCAAGTGAATGTGAGGAAGCAAAGATGACATTGGTCTCATTTATTGAATATTTTTTGCAAAGTAATAAATTCATTAAAAAAATTTTTGTTCCTTAGTACAAAGTGATTGTCCCCAAAATTGGAAACATACTTGATCTTTGCACAGCATTGTCTGCTTTATCAGGAGTACCTGCAGATAAGGTAAGATGGTTCTGGGTTTGAAGAATGTAAGTTGGAGTTTATTTTTGCAGTGTTGTAAAACCAGCTCAATAGAAATTTATTTTTTTTTAGATGATAGTTACTGATATATACAATCATAGATTTCACAGAATATTCACAATGGATGAAAATCTTAGTAGTATTATGGAGCGGGATGATATTTATGTGTAAGTATAAAATTCATTTTGCAAAATATCACGAGAAAATATTCAAAAGAATAACAAAAGTTTTCAGAATTTATTTTCAGCTTTGTCTTTATAGGTTTGAAATTAACATCAATAGGACAGAAGATACAGAGCATGTGATTATTCCTGTTTGCCTACGAGAAAAGTTTAGACACTCAAGTTATACCCACCATACTGGTTCTTCACTTTTTGGTCAGCCTTTTCTTATGGCTGTACCACGAAACAATACTGAAGATAAACTCTATAATCTCCTACTTTTGAGAATGTGGTAAGTGTCAGATAATTCTGCATTAGCAAGATAAAATATAAAATAGAGAAAGTAAAGATGCATAGTACATTAGATAAGTCTGTATTATCTCTAGTTTGTTTAGATAGGTAGCAATTTAAAAATCAAAGTATAGTCTAATCCAGTTTCTTGATCATGTAAAACATTAGTGAGGTGATTTCACACCCAGGAAGCATGAATGCTTTTAGCCATTTTCACCAAATGTTAATAGTTGGGAGAAAATAATAAAAATGTATCATGCATATACACTCTAAAATCATAACAATGTCAGATGTTTTATCTCTTTATACACACTGCTAGTTCAAGAACTCATACAAATAAACAGTTTTGTTTAAAAGGATAAACTTTCATGGTTGGTAGTATTGTAAGGCAAACGCTCTTTGTCTTCCTGAAACCTTGAATTGAATTTTAAAGTAATCAAGAATGTCATTTGATCCCTTTCTTTTGTTCTTTATCACTGACATATTTAGTATTCTTACTTATTTTCATTACTGTAGTCTCATAACCCATACATAAAGATCATGTTACACATCTATAAATGATCTTAGCTATAACATATATATTTAACCTGAGAATTTTTAAGTGGAGAAATTATTTACCACACACTTCTAACATATAAAAATATGTTAAAACCCAAGAAGAACAAATTAAATTTTTATGAAGACAACCAAAACAAATGATTAGTCAGTTGCACATAAGGAATTTTATCTTGAGTTGAATTTATCCTTGAATCTAGCAAATGACCAGTTATTGCCTTTAAAAGTTTTATTTTATTGAAAGAATAGGAAACTTTCTTTAAGTTTTTACCTTTATAGGACTGAACTTGTTTGATTTCTGATTTTATTTAAGCCGATATGTCAAAATATCTACTGAAACAGAAGACACTGAAGGATCCCTACATTGCTGTAAGGACCAAAATATTAATGGAAATGGCCCAAATGGCATACATGAAGAAGGCTCACCAAGTAAGACTTTCCTACTAAATTGTGAAAACTCTTCACTTGGATTATTGCCTCAGAAAAGTCGAGAGGATGGGGATTAAGGAACTAAAAGATATCAGCAAGCTTAGGAAACGTAATATTAGTATTAATAATTTTTAAATGCAACATTGAGTTTACTTAAATATTTCTAATATCTAAAATTAGGTGAAATGGAAACAGATGAGCCAGATGATGAATCAAGCCAAGATCAAGAACTTCCCTCTGAGAATGAAAATAGTCAGTCTGAAGATTCAGTTGGAGGAGATAATGATTCTGAAAATGGATTATGTACCGAAGAAACTTGCAAAGGTCAACTCACGGGACACAAAAAACGATTGTTTACATTCCAGTTTAACAACTTAGGCAATACTGATACCAACTACATCAAAGACGATACCAGGCATATAAGATTTGATGATAGGCAGCTTAGGCTAGATGGTAAGTATTTGTGAAAAATGGCTTGAACACTAAACTTTAGCAAAAAGCATGTTATTTTTTTAGATGGAAACTATAAAATTCAACACATTAATTTTAGTACTTATCTATCTAAAATCTTAAGTTAAAAGCCTTAATTTCTAAGTATCCTATATAATAAAATCCTGATATGCAAATCGACCGCAGAGGGAGGTGACCTGTGGCAGCGGCGGGCAGGGTGAGTGGGTGGGGCCAAGCCACCAGCCAAAGCAGGTGCCAGCTAGGGCCCCCCCACAATCGCCCTGCCGGTCGCCCCACAGATCCGCCCTGATCGCCGGCCAGGCCTAGGGACCCTACCCTATATATTGGGAACAGTCTCTTAGATTTCAAAATTAAAACCTGGCAAGGCTACACTAACACTGAAAAAAACAGGATGTTGCAACAATGACATGCATGGACTCAGGCTTGCACATTTTGTGGTCAGCCCTGATTATGACACTTAAAACTGTGTGACAAAGCCTATTAACTTCTCTCTGCTTCAGTTTTTCCACCTGTAAGATGGGGAAAATGGTACTACCTCCTCAGAAGGATCATGTTATGTACTACTTTTTATAATCAGGGCAAAAAAATGTAGCTGCCATACAACAGCAAGATGTCTTTCACCTGTATGAAAAGTATGGTCACTGGTGCGTGAAGCATCCCACATTGCAAGAGGGATGTCCGAGGGCGCAGGCTAGGCTGAAGGCCCCCCCCCATCCCATTCGAATTTCATGCACCAGGCTTCTAGTACTAAAATAAATGTTAATGTTTATTAAATAGAGGTTGGACTTATGCTTAAGTTTTGTTTTGTTTGGTTTTTTAATTCCTAAAATACTATAATGATTTAGAAACAATGATTTGCCCTGATCACCTAATCCAGTGGTAGGCAAACTCATTAGTCAACAGAGCCAAATATCAACAGTACAACGATTGAAATTTCTTTTGAGAGCCAATTGTTTTAAACTTACACTATATAGGTAGGTACATTGTTATTAACTTAATTAGGGTACTCCTAAGGCTTAGGAAGAGCCACACTCAAGGGGCCAAAGAGCCGCATGTGGCTTGCGAGCCGCAGTTTGCCGACCACGGACCTAATCAAATAAAAGAGATTGTTATATGTTTATTCTCATATATGTCTTAACATTAAAATACATTGATCTTAACACTAAGGCATATTAAATTTTAAAGAAAAATATGTTTTCCACCTTAGAAAGATCTTTTCTTGCTTTGGATTGGGATCCTGATTTGAAAAAAAGATATTTTGATGAAAATGCTGCTGAGGTAAGTCATCACTCTTTTTTTTATATTTTCCATCTTGATCACACTGTTTTGTTGCATTCTTTTGCTTCTACCAAATGTACTTATTTTGCCAGTATAAAATTGGTTGGTTATGTACTAGAAAATATTTATTTGTTTTAAACATGCTTTCTGTTTATACTTTTTAGTTGTTTTTAGGTGTGTATATAGAACTTATTTAGAAGTGTGGTGTAAATCTCAGCTGAAATAAGCTTTATGATTCTTTTGAGGAAGTTTGCGAGTTTTTCATTACTATTCATAGTAATATGGTATCACTAAAATGAGTTTTGTCTCATTTGTTCTCTTAACTCAAGAAATACTTCTCTTTAGGATTTTGAAAAACATGAAAGTGTGGAATATAAACCGCCTAAAAAACCCTTTGTGAAATTAAAAGATTGTATTGAGCTTTTTACAACAAAAGAAAAGCTAGGTGCTGAAGATCCCTGGTAAGAAACAAAGTTAAATAGTTGTTTCTAATTTTTTTTAAGGTTTTATACTGAGGTATATGGTCCATCAAGTTAGAAAGGTGATAGCTAAATTCCCTTTGATATTTTAAATAATAAGCATTTATTTATATTATTTTATTAAGAGGGATGAAAATGTCTTTAAAAGTATTATAATTCCACTACTATATTTTTCATAATAATTACTTTTTCTTGAGAATTTTTAGCAGTGCTGCCATTTTGAGAGAAACTTTTAGGAAAATTGTAATATGTTTTGTGGTATTATTAATTTCATTAGAGCCCAGAAATTTTGAGATTTTTCTAATACCTATATCTCGGCAGAATTAGCATACTGAAATGTAAATAATCTAGCCTTCATCATTTATTTGAATACTTATTTACATATTAGTTTATAATAGTTAAATCTATTTGGAATATGTATTGAATATAAAAATAATGGGAACTCCTATTAAATCTATTTGGTGTATATTAGGCATACAATAACTGCTCACTAAAAAAAATGTAGAACTTTTCAAACTTTTTAAATATACATTGTTTTAATTGCCTCTATCAAGCTTTAAGTGTTTCCCTTCATTTTTAGGTATTGCCCAAATTGTAAAGAACATCAGCAAGCCACAAAGAAATTGGATTTATGGTCCCTACCTCCAGTACTTGTGGTACATCTCAAGCGATTTTCCTATAGTCGATACATGAGAGACAAGTTGGATACCTTAGTTGATTTTCCTATCATGTAAGTTTTAATTATGCTTCATAAACATCAGACAGCTCTAACTTTTTTTAGGCATCAGGTAGCATTGGACACAGTCTCAGGTTTTGAGTGTATTTTTGAGTAGTTCTAACAGTTCATAACAATCAATAACAATTTTTATTCCTACTTTAGAGATTTTTTCAAAGAACAAAAAGAAAATATACTTAAAAAGAATAAAACTCATTCTGTGTTAACATTATTATGGATTTGTTGTCCCTGTTTATAAATCTAAGATACTCATGTGACCTTGGTGATTTTATTTTTTCTTAGGAATCAATCATCAGTTATTCCTAAATATCCTTTTTTTTAAAGATTAAAGTAATATATAAAAACAATAATAAAATTGTTTAGAAAGATAACACAGTGGTGATATTGTGTCAAACACCTTCAGTTTTCTTTTTCTTTTTTTTTTTTAAATATATTTTATTGATTTTCTACTGAGAGTCAGAAACATCAATGAGAGAGAAACATCGATCAGCTGCCTCCTGCACACCCCCCACTGGGGATGTGCCCGCAACCAAGGTACATGCCCTTGACCAGAATCGAACCTGGGACCCTTCAGTCCGCAGGCCGACGCTCTATCCACTGAGCCAAACTGGTTAGGGCTCCTTCAGTTTTCTTATTGCATTGTCCAGAGTATGATATATTCGTAGAAAGGTATGAAGTGGTCTGGAGATGTAGTATCTTTGTAGTCCTCTCTTTTTAAGCTTTCACTGAATATAATTGAGAATTCAGAAGGACAAAAAGGGAATATTGTATCTCATTCATGTAGTCCAGGAAGGACTTTATGAAACAAAATTATGCAACAAGAACTTCATACTTTCCAATTTTGCTAAAGAACATTGATAGTATTTTTATACATTTCATGATATTTCTGCACCAAATTTACTTGCTATAGTTAATAACTAGACAAATGCTTAAGGCAGGTATATAAAGGTTATTGGAAGGAAATAAATGATATAGTATTAAAAACATTCTGTGGATTGCTTATTCTAATTGGTGATTATAAATTTAAAATTTTGCCCTAGCCGATGTGGTTCAGTTGGTTGGAACATCATCCCATACACTGAAAGGTCTCAGGTTTGATTCCTTGTCAAGGCACATACCCAGTTTGCAGGTTCAAACACAGTCGGGGTGCATGGGAAGCAACCGATCAATGTTTCTCACATCGATATTTTTCTCTTTCTCTCTCTCTCCCTCTCACCCTCTTTCCCTCTCTCCCTCTCTCCCTCCCCCTCTCATCTCTCCCTCCCTCCCTCCTTCCCCTTCTCTCTTCCTCTTTCTCAAAAATCAATGGATACGTATTCTCGGGTGAGGATTAAAAATAATAATAATAAATAAAATTGAAAATGTTTTGCAATTATGGAACCAAAAAATGGTAATTTTCTCTTTTACAAAATTATGAGCCATCAGAGTTTAAAGAATATGGCATTTTGACTATATAAGTACAAGGATAACCAGAAGTAATGATAATCTAGAACCTATTAGAGAAAGTAGTTTAGAATCATTATTGTTTTTCAGTGAGGCAAGTACAAAAAGTCTAACCAGAAGTAATGGTAAGCTATAACATGGTGATGTTCCAGTTTCATGAGAGGCAGATTATAAACAGCTGATTACATGTCACAGAATGTTGACCATTTGGGATATACAGATTATCAGAATCAGGAAATTTAGAATAAATATTGGGGGTTAGATATATTTAAATTATTATAATATTTCCAAGAAAGTTATTTTTCGCTATCCCTTTATTTTTCTTTATTAAATTCATTTCTTAAAATGACTTTAAAAATACAAAAACAAAAAGGACCTAGATGTGTAGGTAAATAGTGATGAATACTTTTCCTAGTGCCGAAAATTAAATGTATTAGCATAAAAACATTAATCTGAATAAAAACAATCACTGGATAATTTTTAAATTCTCAACCCTTAAGAAAATTTTTGACAAAACATTCAAATCTCAGGAGTATATACATGATTTGCTTTATAGAGTTATTTGTCTCTTAGTAATTTTTTTAGAGATATTAATGTCAAACAACACTGATAGAGGGGAATAGAATTCATTACATGTAGGTAGAACATAAGACTAATTTGATCTGTCTTTAAAACAGTGACTTGGATATGTCGGAATTCCTAATTAATCCAAATGCAGGTCCTTGCCGGTATAATTTGATTGCTGTTTCCAACCACTATGGAGGGATGGGAGGAGGACACTGTAAGTTGACAGTTTACTTTTCTGCTAAAATCATGATGTTTGATAACTCCAGACTTTTTTCCTTAAGATATTTATTATTCCTTAAGGGGAAAATATGAGGTGTACCTTACATGTAGTAGTTGTTCAATAAATATTGATTAATGAATAAATCTGCTTTTGAATGTTTTCAAAAAGGCATAGAGGATTGAATTATTCATACTCAGTTCATACTTGTCTATTCAGGGCTACTGTCCTTCCCCATTCTCCTTCCCTTTCCCTTCTAATGTGTTTAACCCTTTGCACTCCGAACCATTCTGGACATTGGCTACCAGCTACTCGACGCTACTTTGCGGCGGAAACGTGCATTTACAGAACCTCGTATTATTTAGTATAATTTTGGAACCAAGTAACGTATTATAATGATATTGGACTTATATGAATTGGGTGACATCGAGGAATGTATATTTGCAAAAAAAACAATATTTTATTGTTTATAATTTTGTACAGTATGATAAGTTTTGTAACACTCCCTAATATGCATTGCAGGCTGATTAGTGCATGTTTGACAGTAATAAGTGGTTTGACGCCTGCCACCAGGTGTTTTCCTGTTAGAACACACAATGCAGTCCCGTTTTCTTTGTCCCACATCGGGAATATGTAGTTTATTGTTTAATCCGACACAAAACCCGCTGACAAACTTGTATATATCTTAGTAATTTTACGATATTTTGATTTAATTTCTTGTGCCATTTCAAGATAAAACTTCAGGGAAACATGCATGTCTCAAAACGTTGCGTTGAAATAACTCAATTCCCCGTAATCACTAATAAACTGCAATGTCCCCTGAGAGGGGACATCCGAGTGATATGATAGAATTCCGATGTCCCCTGAGAGGGGACAGCGGAGTGCAAAGGGTTAATGTATGTGCTCTTATAGATCATGCATCATTGTTAAATTACATGATTGGTACTGTGCTATAAATCTCATATTTTTCTCTTAACATAAGAAATGTCCATGTAGTCCATTTCTTCTAAACACTCATAACTTACAGGTACCATATTTTATCTCTACTTATTTCATGATGGATATCCAAATTGCCTTTAACATTCTACCACCATAAGACTGATAAACATTATTGTTTATGTTCCCCTTTGTGAGAATTTTTTTGAGCTACATACCCAGAAGTGAGATTGTTGGGTCATGAGTGTTCAGGTACTTCCAGATGGTTCTCCAGGATGGTTATACCAGTCTACACACTTTAGTTGATAGATTTTTCATTGAACCATCTTTGCATTCCTGGAAAATCCAACTTGTCTTTTAGTATTTTTTATATACCCTGTTGGATTTGGTTAACTACTTTTATTTAGGATTGTTACAATTAATTTGTGCTAACTGCTACACTGTGGAACTGCACGCTGTAACAATTAATGTGTAAATGAAATGTCTACTCTAATAAAACAGGCTGGGATACTTTATCTGTTTCCTGAAGCAGCTAGCATTGTATAGGAATTAACTATTCATGAAAGTCTAGTAGAATTAACCTGTAAAAATTCTCTTACCTGGGCTTTACAGCCTTAAACTTTTTATTTATGTCATGCTTTGTGAAATCTATTAAGTTTTCTTTTTCCAAAATGTGCACATTGTGGCATTTTCTATTTTTCCAAAAATATATCTATGTTTTCCAATTTATTTGAGAAGAATTATTTATAATACTCTTATGCTATTTTTTTCCTTTGTCTTTTCTCTCTTTTTTTAATTGGTCTTCTCAAGTCTGTCTTATTACTCTGTTCAAAGAATTAGCTTTACATTTTATTAAATTTTCCTATCCATTACATGTATGTGTTCTATCTTATTGATTTCTTCTCTTCCCTTTGGTATATTTTTCTTCTTGTTACTTTGGGTTTGTTCTGTTGTTCTTTCCCAGCTTTTTGAGTTGAATGCTTTTGGCTTTCCAACCCCCCCCCCCCTCACCCTCATCCCCCATTGAAGGCTATAATAAAAGTTCTAAATTTTCCTTTAAATACTGCTTTTATCTGTATCCCATCAAGTTTGGAATGTCATATTTTCAGCTATATGCTTTTCTAAATACATGGTTTTTATAAAACTCTTCTTTTGTTCTGAATTTTATTTTGTTACAGGCACTGTCTGTGTTATATTAATCCATAGGAGGGTTTATTCAGGCTTCCATGTGGCTTAATAAATGGTCTGTTCCTTAATGTTTGTGTGCTTGAAAAATAGGTATTTTTCTATTCAAACATAGAGTTCTTCTCTAATAATTTATGCTTACCAAATGTATTCAAATTATTACTATTTCTGGTCATTTTTTATGTTTATTCTTTTTTTGAGAGGAATTTGTCAGGACTTCTACTGATATTGTTTTACATTATTAATTGTATTTATGTTTATAATGGGTAGCTCTTCTTTCTCTTTTGTTTCTTTTACCAGGATTTGATGTTCTTTTATTTTTCTCAGAATTATAAATGTTAATCTAGCTTTCTTTTAATATCATTTAAATTGCAAACTCTGTATGCCTTTTTGTAGGATTTGTCTCTCTTATAAACCATATTGTTAGATTTTTGTCTTTTTATTCAGCCTAACAATGTTTCTTTTCATTTCTGAGGGTAGCAGTTGTGAGTTCATATTGACAAATTTATGGCCCACAATAGGCTCCACTCAGAAGAACAATGCATTTGTTTTGTGATGGGTAGAATTATTTAGAAGTCGTGGCCTATAAAGTGTCACTTTTTAAAAGCTATGACAGAATATAACTGTTTTCGGGACATTTTGCAACTTTGTTTCCTCAGTTATTAAGTAGTTTATACAAAACATGGGATGGGAAAGGGGGCAATTTTTTTTAACTTCAAGATGAAGCAAAACTTTAAAACTTATGCAAATTAATCACTTTTTACCTTTCTCTTGCTTTGTACTTTTATTAAAGAATTAAAATTATTATAGTGTAAAAACCACTATAAATTAGTGGGCTAGTATTGTTGGGAAATTTTGTCATAGAAAATTTAAATTATAGGTAAAGTTTCAAACTTTGGAGTCAGAGACAGACCTGGCTTTGAATCCTAACTCTGCTACCTAACAGCTACATGTTGGGCAAGATGCCTCACTTTCTCCATCTCTGAAATTGGAAGGATAATAATGACACTTTCTTTATGAATAATGCACAGAAAGTGCATGCCACTGTGCCTGGTACATGATAAATGTTAATTACCATTTGTTGTCATTAGTATTGTTACTCTGTGAATTAAAAAAATAATAACAAATCTAAAATAAATAAATAAAAAATCTGTTCTGTTTGTCCCTGAGATGAAAAAAAGTTACAAATTCATCTTATGAAAAGTATCATAGGCATGTAGATTTTAGGAAATTTTTCTAAAAACTTCTAATCAATGAAATCAGTTGAATGTATAACAGATAGGCCTTATATAGATGATTATCATGTGATTTTAATAGATGTTCCTCACACATATGATTTTAAGGTTTTAATGGTTCCCCCCAGGAAACCATAAATTATTTCAGTTATAGAGGTTGTTATATTTTTTCATTAGATACTGCTTTTGCAAAAAATAAAGATGATGGAAAATGGTACTACTTTGATGACAGTAGTGTCTCAACTGCATCTGAAGATCAGATTGTGGTAAGTGTGTCTTTTATTTTCTGAAAATCAAGAAAACCACTGTTTTAAAAAGGGACCATAGGATACTGTAGTCTGTCTTCTAGCAATTCTAATAGCTAAGAGAAACTTGCTCTGATTTAAAGAAATGTAAAATTGTCCCCTAAGTGAAAATTTGTTTTCTAAATTTGCCCACTAACAAATTTAAAAGTACAAATTGCAACGTGAAAATTTTCCTGGTAGTTTTCAACATGAAAATTGGAGTTTTCTAAGGAAAATAATAACTTCTTTTTATAATAAAAATTTTTCTCTAGAAAATAGGCTCAGACATTTCTAGATTACTTAAAGTCAGAATGTTAAAGTAGAAAAAGAAGTCCTTTAAGGGCCTTACTATACATATGATTTTAAAAGTAAAGTCTTATCCTTTATGACAGTTAAACTCAAAATTACATAATTAGGTAAAAGAAATTATATATATATTTTTTTTAATTAACCCTTTGTATTGTTACTTTAATATTTTCTAAATAGCAGAAAAATTAGGAAGCTACATCTAGTCACACTTGCATTCGTTTATCAGTTACAGCCAGAGCCAAAATATTGGCATTTGTTTTGCTTCCCATCAGAGCAGATTTTTATTATAAGATATTGATTGACAAAAAAATGACTTGTATATTCTAAGAAGAAAGTTAAGATTTGCTTGATAAAAGCTTATATTTCTATAAGTTTTATTTATTGATCATAATATTATAAAGATTAAGAAGTATAAAGATTAAGAAATATAGTATTTATTCATGTTATATTTTCTATACAGAAGTTTTCTGTTGATGTGTAAAGTGCTGACTGCTTTACCATTTTTCTAAGTTTAAATTATATATTCCTGAGGGCAGAGACTAGCATTTGTTCTAGTTTATAATACTTTAAAATTCTTCAACCTAAATTGTTCAACTTTGTAAATTAATAAACTCCTAGGCCCATTTATTTGACATGGTTTTAACCTGTCATTGGATGAACAGATGAAACATAATTTTGAGTTGTTTCCCTACAAATGTTTTATTTTTTATGTATATGTAATATATGTATATACATATAAATTTTGTACTGTTGCTTATCTCCTTATAGCTATAACAGAACAGACATGAACTCTAATATTTTTTAAAATGTGTATAGGCCTAAATGGACTACACTTCCAGTTCATATTTAGACTTCTAATGTCAAGTCATATCTCTCACTTTTCAATCCTGAAATAGCTTACATCCTTTTTCAAAGTCTTTTTGACAACACTGCTCTAATCTTGCCTTCAAATAAATATCTTGTTTATATATAATATATGAATTAGATGTTTCCTTGCCTCTTAATAATGGTTCTTCATTTAGTCAACAAGTACTTGAGTCTATATTTAAAACTATTGTAAGCTAGGTTAAAAGACAAATATCATTTCAAGAGGTTTACAATCTAAAGATGACAGATAAGCAAATTAACGATTATATATGATAAGTGCTATTAAATATTTTGGCTACATTGAAAGGAGGCAGCTGTCTTATGTGATTTGGGGTTAAAGGAGACAGGACCACTGCAGGGAAGTTTTCATAAAGAAAGTAGTGTTTGCCCTGACCGGTTTGGCTCAGCGTCGGCCTGCGGACTGAAGGGTCCCGGGTTCGATTCCAGTCAAGGGCATGTACCTGGGTTGCGGGCACATCCCCAGTGGGGGGTGTGCAGGAGGCAGCTGATCGATGTTTCTCCCTTATCGATGTTTCTAACTCTCTATCCCTCTCCCTTCCTCTCTGTAAAAAAATCAATAAAATATATATTTAAAAAAAAAAAGAAAGTAGTGTTTAACCTGAGTCTGCAAGTACAAATAAGAGTAAATTAGACAAAAGAAACAAAATATTCTATGCAAAAAGAACAGTATCTACAAAAGTAAGGAAGCATGACATTTAGGGAAACAGCAAGTAATTCAGTATTACTGAAAGAAAGATTCTTGTTAAGGATATGGGGCAGAAATTAGCTAAATTTGGGACTCAGATTAAGACAAGTGACTTTCTTCTTTTTTTTTTAAAGGCTGTAAGAAGCATTGGGTGATTGTTAAGTAATAGGACATTATTAAATTTGCATCTTAACATCTGTCTGAGAACACTATAGAAGATAGATTGAAGGGCACTGAGAAAAGCAGAAAGGCCATGTTCTGCCACCAGCAGAAGGGAGGCTGTCATGTAATTTAAGCAGTAAAAGCTTCTAAATCTACTATATTGTCCACCTGAAACTAATATAATATTGTATGTCAACTTTAGTGGTAGTAAGTGTATAGACAAGGGGAGACTGGATTTATGAGATTTACTACATAGAATTAAAAGAACTTGATTAAGATTAGATATAAATGAAGATACAGATATAGAATAGAGATGCAAAGAGGAAAAAATTACAATTTACTAAAATAGGAACTAAAGAAAGAAAATTTGTGTTGAAGTTTGAGGTGCCTGTATGATAGCTAAGTGGAAAGTCTCTTTATGTATTTGGACTAATAGAATTAGAGTTCAGGGGTAAGAACTGGCTTGAGTTGTGGGTCCTAGGTAGGAGTTGAAGCCATAGGTTGAATGAGTCACCTACTGAGAAGATACAGATTGAGAAAGAGTGATGGGCTTAGGGCAGAATGTGATTTCTTTTAAAAGATAGGATTTAATGAGCCCAAAGAAAGGTCAAACGAAACCATAGAGATAGAAAATCTAAGTTGTATCACAGAAGCTAAAAATGGTTGGATGCAGGGAAGAGTAGTAGAGCATAAAATGCTACAGAGAGATTGACTAAAAGAACTAAAAAAGGCATTTATTTAATTTGTTTATAGGAGGTTATTGACTCTAGTGAAAACTATTTCATTAAAATGGTTGGGGCAGCAATTAGGTCATAGTGAATTGAGGAGTATGCAGGAGAGTAAATGATAAATATTAGATTACCATTCTGGCTGAGGAAGACTTTTAATGTCAAGAAGTCCAGTAAATAAGGACTCCTTCAAGATACACAGTGATGGTTGATGGAACAATAGCCTTAAGACAGAAGTTGGACTCTACAGCAAACATGGAATGATGTGATTAGTATTACAAAGAAGCTTCTTAGAGACAAGAGGGAAGAAGGCATAGAATTCTAGTTGATGTTAGAGTACCTAGGTTAATCTGTTATATTGTTGCATTTATTCACCTGTCCAACTAACTTAGAAAAGAATAAAAAGGTTAAAATTCCAGTGACCATTCCACTTTTATAAGTAGAAGTAACCTTACATTTAATCAATTTTTATAACTTCCATCTGACTGTGTGGTTTTTTTATATTTGATGTATGCCCTATCACCAAAATTGGTTGCCAGGTAAAAATTCATACTATATTTAATGTGACCTTTGAGAATCATGACCTTTTTAACATCCTCTGCTTGTTTTAACAGTCCAAAGCAGCATATGTACTCTTCTACCAGAGACAAGACACTTTCAGTGGAACTGGCTTTTTCCCTCTTGACCGAGAAACTAAAGGTGCTTCAGCTGCCGCAGGCATCCCATTAGAAAGTGATGAAGATAGCAATGATAATGACAATGATATAGAAAACGAAAATTGTATGCACACTAACTAATGAAAGTCCTAGAAGCCATAAAAGAGAGACTTTCCTGCTGGTGGTATCGATTGAAATGAAGTTATCCACCACATTAAACAAACGTCTGAGATGGGGAGTTTCAGATAACTGAATGTAAATCCTTTATCAGATTTTAACTTGTGCAGTACTTGAAGTGAAACACAATGAAAAACTTTAACAGAAATTGTCTCTTAATACATTTACAGTCTTGTATTTACAAGCTAAATATATATAGGAAATCACAAATAAATCCCTTTTAAGTTTGCTGCTGTTTTGATGAATTATGTTTTCTTTAATTTTTTGGATGTGAGTTAATTGATGACAAATGTTAAATTTGTGGATGTTGGTCATTTTTTGCTCTAATAATACTGCAAGAAAACTATGGCTGAACTTAGTTTTTGAATAATCTAGTTCATGTGCATCAAGCATTTAGCTGCAGTATCAATGTGACATAAATACTGCAGTAGTATCCTTGGAAAACCAAATTTTCAAACTATCCCTGGTAATCAGTGTGGGCCTATTAAAAAACCAAATCAAGATAAAAGAAACAATCTTGAAAAAGTTACTTCCTTTTGTAGTATCATTAAAATCATCTTATCGCTACTGTGGAAACAGGTTCTAAATTTCATGCTCCATCTGAAGTCATTGTTCAGTTAAATGTGTTTTTTACAGCTATTGGGATCTATTCCTTAGACATTCAAATTCTTTTTTACTTTCTTCGTATTAAAATGCATATTTTTAATCTGGTGTTGGTCCCAAATTAAAATTTTTGCTGTCTGTTTTTCTCTACCCCATTTTTTGGTAATTTGTCAACTTTTAGCTCTCCCAATTGTAATATAAGAACAGACTTGATAGTATTCTGTATCCATAGTAATAATTACATCAAGCTTAGGATGAGAAATTTTTTTCATATACTGGCCTTTAAATCATTATTGGACAATTGGCTTTAAAGGTAGGTCTGTTAACTTTCTTTGTGTGTTCCTGATGGAATTCACCATAGCCTTACAGCTTTTCTCAGAAGGTAACTTGCTATAAGAGAATTGGCATTTGCATGTTCCAGAGTGAGAACCTGTACAGTATATAAAGCATACAAACCTTGAATTTGATTTTAGTTCACCACATTTAAGGATCCAGGATGCCAAAAATATGTGTGAACATTTGAAACATTTTTCATTTGCTGCTTTCCCTTTGATCTAGTTGAAAAGAATGTATTGTAAATTGGCATACAATACTGCCTTTAATAGAAAATCTAAATGCTGGGGCACATTTCACATATCGACTACCTGAGAAATTGCTTTGTGTCCTACTGTTATTAAAGCAAAAAGTATAATGTTCTTCACTTGAACTAATCAAATACAATAGATTATAAATTGTGTATTGTAAATAAAAGTTCACTCTGTGAGTGCACATTTTGGTAAATTATTTATTTATGTTAGCATTTAAAAGTTTTAAGAAATGCATTTGACCAGGATAAATAAATGAGGTATGTTGATCATGGCTTTGCTTTATACCTTGATATTAAAGCTGGTTTTACATCCTGGTATTTTAAAAGCTGCTTTGTTGTTTTTTTTTTTTCGTTCGGTTTTTTTTGCGGGGGGCGGGGGGGGGGCGGTGTTTTCTTTTTTTTCTTTTTTTCTTTACTTTTTTAAAATGTAAACTAACCTCCTGCATGACAGAGGTTATAATTTTGTCCGCACTTGAGTTCACTTGAGTTTACATTTGAAATGTGCATGTTTATTTATACAGATTTCAATAAAGCTATTCAAGGCCTTATTTAGTCTTTTATTTCTTACTTTGAATCTTTTGATAAAAAGTTCCCTGTTTTATGGGTAGGTGACTGATTATATGCCAAACTTTATAGTTACCATATAGTTAAAGATGGAAAGGAAAGCATGTCAGAGCAAAGTGAATCCTGTTTAAGGGCATGTTTTAAGTTGATTTTTTAAATTTAAACATTCATTAAACCAGTATTTGTGTACCTACTAATCATTTCAAGAGTCTTGAGAGTAAACAAATATTCCTGCAGTTACAAAGCTTGCAGTCTTTCTGCTCTCTACTAACTAATAGACTATATTTCCATTTTTCTGGGGTTGAAAAAAAACTAAAATTAACTTTTTCTAATCCTAGATTCCAGTCTCTACCCTAATTGTCCATAGGGACCATTTCTTTTTAATGCCTGTAATTAACTTCTATTACCACTAAACGAAGTATGTTTTTTCATTGGAAATGATGTTGTTAATTCGGTGGAATTTGTCTTACTCAAATGACATTATCAACTGCAAAAAATAAACTGTAAAAATTGTGCAAAAGGCTCATCTATACTCTAAAAGTATATCTTCATTGGTAATATAGGGTAGTAGGGATATATCCATTCTAGAATTCTACTTCTAGCTTTGCTATTTACTAATCATATGACTTAGATCTCTCCAAGTATGTTTCTTTACCCGTAAAAATAATGATAACAATAACAGCAGCATTTATTGAGCACTCACCAAGGACCGGCTGTTATATTAAAGTGTTATATCTATTTTCTCATTTACCACAACAGCTATGAGGTAGGGACAGTCATCCCATTTTTCATATGGAGAAACCAAGGTACAAAGCAGTTAAATAATACTCCCAAGATCACCTGATGATGATGTGGTGCAGTCAGTAATTTATCCTCAGATGTATGTATTACCTCCCACTGTTGGAGCCTCGCAGGATTGTTGAGCACTCACATGAGCTCATGTATTTGATGGGACGGTACTTTGTGAACTGTGTGGTATACTCATTACTGATTTCTTCAGTCTCAATAACTTCAGTCTAATAACTTTGCTTCCAAAGTACCTTCAGCTCAGTATTTGAGTTTTGAATAAGAAAGATACCAGCTGGAATATTGATTAACCTTTCCCTTTTGAAATTCAATTTATGTACACTTATTACCATTTTTACTAAATTTAAATGTTATATAGCAGTTTCTCCCTTATCTTGTTCATCTAACTTAAGTGTACCCTTTATATTTTCCCAAATGCAACCCTTATTTTCAGGACTTTTCCTTCACCTATACTTTAGCTTTAATTAAACTATGAAAAAGCAGTAGCCTGGTCTTTTATTTAAATGTCTCACTTTCTCTTATACTCTGTGTGGTTTCAGTAGTCCTGCTTTTATTCTTGCTTTCCTAGCAACTAGATATGAAAACCATTGATTTGGGCATAAAGAAGATCAGTAAGTACTAAAGCCATTGATACAGTATGAAGACAGTGCTTTTTCATCAAGTATGTAATTTCATTGAGATGAAGATATAAGAAGCCAGAAGAGAAATTGAGGGGTGTCTCGTTCAGTGGCTTACCAAAGAGGGTGGGGGAAGCATACCAGTAGGAGCCTTCTACCCCAGAGAGGAGGAATGTACTGTCACTAGTGCATCGTGATAATCAAAAGCAGGCTAACTTTCAGTCTGTTTTATAAAGTTCTTCACAGACAATGTGTTTCATTATTGCATGTTTCCCACCCTCCCTACTTGTATAGTGTAGATGAATACACGTCTCCCAATTTATTTTTTAAGGTAGAAATGTGAAGAATTCTTGTACGTTAGGGGAAGGAATAATAAGTTTGCTAAAATCTCAGAAGAGTGAGAAGGAAAGGAAAATTCCATTTTTGGAGCCAAAGAAGTGAACTGGAAATTTTTTTAAAATATTTTTTTACTCTACAATAAAATTGTTTTTGTTTTTAAACAGCTTGTCTTCAAAATGTAATTTTGTTGGTAACTCCCAAATTATTTCAAATACCAGAGGATAAAGTAAAAAGAGTTTGCATCATGCTAACATATATTAAGTTGCAGAACTATACTAGATTGTTTCATCAGACTTTTCTAATGAGAAATACATATGATTTTTTATGAACATTATTCTAGGTTTGGGGGGGGGGCATTTCAATTCAATCTGTATATTTTTCATGTGCTTAATTGATATTTACTATGTATTAAGAAAGGAATTTCCAAAAAGCTCAGGCAACAAAACTTTCATTTAAAACTGAATTAGTATATTCAAATTTTTATAAGCTACATAGAATAGGTTTTTAAATATCAGAATTGAGAAGATAAAATGTACATGGCAAAATTAAAATATTGATCAAGCTTTATTTGCACTAATGATGGGGTAACGAATTTTAAAACAGACAGTACAAAAATTATTTTTAACAAATGTATGCATTCTCATCCCACATTCTACCATGGTATAATTATATCCCAGCTCTGCCTTTGGGAGCCTTGACATTGCCAGTGTTGTGAAAAGAAAAAAGGTTATTAAGGGAATCCAGAAAATGTATAAATTGTTAAAATTAAAACGGCATATTTCGGACTAGAAAGGGGAAAATCAGTCAAGTGGGTTTTTAATGTCATTTTTTCTAGAAATGTCTATTAAATGTGATCATACAAGCAGCTAAGAATACGGTTATCTCTGGAAATTGTTCTTTTAAATGGAAATGCTGTCAATATAAGACTGCATATTTTTAATATGCACAAAATCAAATATTTTGAATGTTTAAATTGTATTGCTGAGTATGTTTACTGTAGAAAATCGTTGTTGAAGTTGGTGCTCATTTTGCTCAGAATTTGCCTTCATATTAGGAACTTTTGGCTTGTTCTATATAGTTTGGTGAAGCAATGGAATTAAGTCTACACAAATAAAAGAAGAAAATAAATATGGACACATCCCAACAGCCTTTTCCCATCATGTTTATGCTTACATTTTTCTAAATAATGAAAATACTTAACATTTCCCAAACTGTTGTTTTAAACCTTGTATATTTCTTGCTTTTTAATTCTTAGTTAAAATCTTTCAGGATTCTTAAACTTTGTAACAGAACAGAAGTCTCTCCTTAAAACTTTTTTATAGTATTATCTTTTAAAACATAAAGGAACATTATAAATTAACAGACATTGTAATTATTCCTCCTCTGTGTATTGATTCTTGGGTACACTAGGTTTTAAATAATTTAGACATGTATTGTGTTCTGCTTGTGTGCCTTCACTCTTTCACCTGGGCCTGCTTTCTTCGGACCTTGAGTTCTCCCTATAAGTAGTGAAAGTATTTAATTCTTTATAGTGAGAACCATCTTTCTATTATATCAAGTGGGTATTTTTTTAATTTTCTGAGTTCATCAGCATTAATCCCATCATGTCCTTTTAACTCATTTCCCACAGGAAGCTCAAGGTACCAGGTATTTTGTTCATCCCCTAAATTCCTTCATTCCTGTGGTGAATTATCTGTGTCCTGAAAATTACTTAAGACAAAGCCACCTGCCAATATGGATTATTTTAGAATTGCTCTCATTTAGGGGGGAAAAATTTTTTTTGTAAATATGGAGAAATTGAAATGGAATTCTCATAGGACTTCTAAATATTAAGCAGCTTTAATAAGATAAAACTTCTGTTTATAAAACTCAGATTTACATTCAATTTTGAGCCATGTATCTATTGTATAAGTTGAAGTAATACTGCAGATTCAAACAGTGAACATCAATAATCATAGATATTTGGGTAGTATGTTGGTAGACAGTGAAATATGGTAGGAAGCATATTTAGAACCATGTCACCACATTTAGCTCTAAACAAGACATTTTCTTCTGAATTTCAGTTTTCTCGACCATAAAATGATATTTTCTTGCAAGGATTCAGTGAGTTAATGGATGTGGAGGTATAAACTTTCAGGTTTTGCAAAATAAGGCAGTGTTTTCTAGTTTGGACAACTAGAGTCCTCTATAAGCCCATGAAAGACTTCTTCAATGAAAGGCTCAAATTCAGCTTTTGAAGTTAATGTAAAGTATATATTTACATAGTTTTAGCAAAAGAATAATGAGTAGTACAAGTCAAATTAATACTTGCTCATTTGTGTACATTTTTCCCCTAGCTCCTATGAAAGACTTGGAGCAGAAGTCTTGGTATGGTAAGCTTGAAAATTAAAATTTCATACTGGATACTAGAACCCAGTTATATACTAACAAATGGGACTTTTACAGGTGTTTATGAGCATAACTTCACAGCCTTACACTTAAAGCCTTTTCTCTGTCTTCAGCAGATATGGATTATGTTGTCTTTTTTTCTCCAATTTCATAAATCATTATCTAAAATTATCTGAGTCTTCCCGATTGGTGTGGCTCAGTGGTTGAGCCTTGACCTATGAACCAGGAGGTCATGGTTTGATTGATTCCTGGTCAGGGCATACGCCCGGGTTGTGGGCTTGGTTCCCAGTGGGGGTTGTGCAGGAGGCTGCCAATCAATGATTCTCATCATTGATGTTTCTATTTCTCGCCCTTCCTCTCTGAAATAAATTTTTTTTAAAAAAAAATATTTTAAGAATTATTTTGTTAGTACAATTAATCTGAGACAGTCTGGTTGCTGTCAGTTCTCGCCAGCAGGGGACAGGATTGTCCAGGTGTATGCTGCATTTATTTTGATTTTCCCAAGACCTACATTAAAGAAGTGCTCCTAATTTGATGTGTGAAGTCTTTTTAATTTTTAAGCTGCATAACTGATACACAATAAAAATGAATATTTGTACTGTC